GGCTCGCCCGCGGACCCCGCGCCGAGCCCCGGCGAATGGCATGATTCTCCTCGCCGCCCGCCCGCCCCCCGCGGCTGCGGCGTGCCGTAGTGGGGCGAGGAACCGTTAAACCCTCGTCTTTTTCTCCGTACGGTTTTTATTTTCTGTTCCTTCTCGTTTCGGGGCTTTCAGCTTACGGAAAAGGAAAGCATCTGATGCGTCTGCTCACATGCCACTTTTGATCATACGCTGCCTCCTTGCACAGAGCAGGATCGTTGGGAAAGATGGAGATACAATAAGTTGCTAGTAGTGAAAAGTGCTGCAGAAATCCAGTGGTTTCCTTTCTCCACTGAAGTGACATATTTTTCCTCGGGTTAAGTTGAAAGCACTGCTTGGTGGAGACTGGCTGTAGCTGAGAGTGGGTTTGTGTTTTTCTTGCACGGTTAGGTTTTGCAAAGAGCAGCGATGAAGAGGAAGCTGGTACTCTCCGAGATGCAGTTGGTTCTTCTCGTGTTATTGGTGTGGCTACCAACAAGGTGAGAGGATGTTTAATTTCGTTGTTCGGTGCAAACATGTATGTTAGGGTCTGCTAAGGGTAAGCTTGTGTGAGAGGTTAGAAGAGTGTAGTATGTAGTAATGCAATGAAAGAGTCTTTCTTAGGTGTTTGAATGCAATATTATATAGTTTCCAGAGCAAATGCAGTAGAAGGTAGTCTAGGGACCATATAAGCCTAGTCTCTTGTCCTTAAACAGTTTATGAATTGATGCTTTATTTCACCATTAAAAAATTAATTCCTTTAAATTCCTTATTGGATCTTAAAGATTTATTGGAGTTACTGTATCACTGTGATTCTATACCATACAGAGAGGTTAAGATGGAGAAATAGATTGCCATGAAGTCAAATAGAAAATCACAGTCTCTAAAATAATGCTCGCATATTTTTTAACACGGGCATGCCTTTTTTTTTTTTTTTTTGGTCAACATAACAGAATTCAAAATGATACTTAAGCTTTAAACCTCTAGGTGGAGATAGCATACAACTTCACAGTCACATATAATAAAACAATAGCCTCATTTATTAATCAACTTTTCTTATGTTGTTTAAAGTTCTCCATTTCTGAAGTGACAACGTAAGAGAAAGTAATTTTAATCACATAACAGTTTTGCGTTGCTCACAGTCCCTAAACGTGCAATTAATCGTAGTTTGTAACTTCGTTTTGCTTGCTTTGGTACTGCAGTAGGTCTTGTCCTAATACGGTGAGGATCGTAAGCTAAATAATGCAAGTTTCCTGTGATTTAAAAAGTCTGCGTTTGTTTTTGTCTAGGAAATACCTAGCAAACAAAGTATTTTCTGAAACTATGTTTCCTATTTCACTTTATGCCTACCTATGGTGCAGTATTAGTTGAGTCACAGTGGGCCAGATCCTGCAAACCCTACTCAAGTGAGTAATCTCACTGACGTCAAAGAGACTACATGCGTAATTAAGGAGTTTATGCCTGAGTAAAGTTTTCAGGATTTGACCCTAATTTGATATAATTGTGTGATCTAATTTTTTAGTGGTATCTTCAGTTCAAAAAACTGTTGTATCTCAAAAAGAAGCTTAAAAAATGGCAGAGACTTAGTACAGAAATAAATTTTAAAAATAAAAAATCAGCTGTCCAGTAATTAAAATTAGGAAAAAAAAAATCACACCAGTGAAATCACACATGGCATTTTAGCATGTTCTTTGTAAGTTATCTGATTTTGGTCGCTTCTGTGGTTTATGTGATGGAAAGCACAGACTGCAATGATTTACATTTAAATACTTCCTCTATGCTGTTGAATTGGGGACCAACATAAAGCCCCGTCTTCAATGATTTCATAGCTTGCTTTAGAGAAAATGTCACCCAAACCTACTTTTGGTTTGGATGAGGAAGAAAACATGCTTGTTTTTGTGGGATACAGAATGCCCCAATCAGTAGTTCATTTAGAGATGATAAATACTCAAACATTTCAGGTTAAAAATTTAGGTGGCTGAAACAGAGATAAACGATAATGCGTGTAGCATATGATGCTTTACTTCCTTGATACCAATATTCCTGTATTAAGTAGGTAGGACTTTTGAGCTCATGCCTTTCACATGCCTGACACTTAAAACTGTTGGCACAGTAATGTTTGCATGTGTAAGGCTTTCTGCATGGGAGTGTTTCCCTAGCACACAAAACCGGTGGTCTGGCTGTCCAAGTCTAAGAGGACTGTTCAGCAGCACAGCTGACTGGGCTGCAGGTTCATGTTCCAGCCCCTAGTGTTTTCCACAGAGATATGACCCATAAAGACTGTAACATCTCTTTCTTTATTGGCGAAATTTGAAACAATCGATGATCTGTAGATTGTTCTTGACACTTCATTTATGATTTTTTGCTGTCCAACTCTTATAAGGTTTGTCTGCATCTAGTGGAACGTCAGAGAGTGCTTTTCATAACAAAATAGCATTTTGGAAACATAAAGGCTATCCACAGCTATCCTGCAGCTTGCTAGTCAGCATTGTTGTTCCCACCCACCAAATACTGACATCAGAGGACTCCCTGAGCATGATTGCTGGAGTTTTCCCTCATGTTAGTTCTTCTGGTCATGTACATTACATGACCATTGGGTGGAAGCATATCCACAGGATTTAACCTGAGATAGAGTATGCTTAAGTGAGGACGGATAGGCTAGAGCTGAAAGGAGACAGTTTTGTGTGGGGGAAGCCAGGTTATCAACCCAGGAGTGACATGCCACCAAGGTCTGGGAAGCTCTTTGAGGCTTTAGCACCTGCACAGCGAAACGTTTTAGTGGAGCTTGAAGTAGTGCTCATGGAGAAGCGATGTTGGCCAGAATTAGAGGCTACTGTAAAATGACTTCCTGGAAATTTTAAATAGTATATTGTAGACTCATATGTTTCTGAACATGTTATGTATAAACTGTCTATTCATATACTTTTAACTAAACCCTTCCTGTTGGAAGGTAGCAATTTAAATATTCAAAGCCAGCCTGCAAAAGCTGCCTGTTGAGTGTACGTTAAAACATATCTAGCACTTTCTAAAATGTAAAATGTCCATTTAGATCAGTGCTGGCTGACTCCCTGGAAGATGAAGCTAAGAATAACATCACCATCTTTACAAGAATTCTAGACAGACTTCTGGATGGTTATGATAATCGTCTCAGACCTGGATTAGGAGGTAATAAAAACAATTAAATATTGATTTAAAAAAATCAGTTTTAATGTTCACATTTTATGCAGTGATATTCTTCCTTGAGGGTGGGTTTTTTTTCCTAACAACTGGTATATATATTGATAAATTATTTATAACTCTGTATTCACCCAGCTGAATCATTTGAAGTTTGAGGAAGATAACATCTATGAATGGAAAAGAGGCACTTTCACACATTTATCTTAAGTAAAAAGAAAAAAAGAAAGTGGTGATTTAACATAGTAAAACAGAACGAGAACAAAAATAACGTCTAAAGCTGTTATTCCAGTCAGGGAATTTTTATTGAGCAAGGAATGCAGGCTTGGTTCCCTGCAATGCGATGAGTGTATGGTTTCAGAAATCTGCACAAGTGTTTTGTGTGTAAAATCCACATTTTTAGATTCATTCCTTGTCCCAGTGAATTCAGTGGGAATGTTGTATTTTTTTACTTCCTTGGAATTAGGGTTCCACTGGTAATTCTGGTAATTAGCATTTTGTTTCTGGCTACCTTGCATATATTTGGGCATTTGAAAAAAAAAAAAAAAAAAAAAGAAAAAAGGGAATTTTGGAGGACAGAGGTCACTGCACTCTTGTGCCATGACTGTCAGTTGTTTTTCGAAATGTCATTTCACATTTCCATTTTAAAGCTGCATGCCAGCTCATGTAAGTGTGCAAGCAAGAAATTTAAATAATTTGTTTGATGTTAAGAGTATCAATAAGGAAAAAGATCTCCGTGGTATGGGGAGGGACAGAATGTCTTATTTTTGGTAATATTTTCTCTACTATTACTGCTTATCTGCTATTTATACTATCTAATATAAATATTTCTGGTTTTAATATAACACTGTTACTACTATTATTACTCATAACAGTTTTGGTAATTGTGATTTTCAACCTGGAGACGGTTTCAGCTTTGTAAAACTCATTCTAGTGCAAAATCCCTGAGAGCCATTCCTCTTCCTGTTGATTTCAGTAAGATCAGGCCCAAAGCTAGAGACTTGCTCTAACTTCCATGGCAATTACTCTAACAACTCCGTTTGATCAAATTAGGAATTAGTTAAAGCTCACAGTTTTTAGCCAACACTCTTCTATCCTGACCTGTGGCTCTGCTACTTTTCTGGTTCTGGAGAATCTTGGCTTGTGTCTGACACAGCATAAAGTGGGAGCTGGCGCTGGCTGGAAACAGCTTTCTCATTATACATTAATCTTAACCTCAGATATCTTTTCATTTCCATTTCTGGCCTCTGTACAGTGGAGACTTGTGAAATCTTTTAGATTTAAAGACTTTTTAATTTAGATGATCCATAAAATGAGACATACAGCACTGTTGGTGTGAGAATTTATATAGGGATGTTTTGCATGGAGATTCAATTTCTTTGCAAAATACCCAAATTTAAGAATTTAGACATAGTATAAACATACAATGCCTTGTGGGTGACTTGCAGAAACATTTAATAACACAAAGCTTGTGTTTAATTGGCAGGGCTTTTAAAATCATGGTTTTTATTAGGAAAATAATGAAAAAACCTTTTATTGTTTACAAAAGGAATGTGCCATTTAATGACAGCAGTCTGCAATTCCTTTGCATATCGTGTATTCTTCTTAATATTAACATTTATATTGTTGAAAACATCAATTTAAAAAAAATATTTTTCTAATGGATTTTTATTTTAGATTTTCCATTGAATCTACTGCAACATACCTCCCTCTTTTTTTTTGACAAGCCTCCTAGGTAAATCAAATATATTTGAGAACATAAAAATTAAAGAATTAACGTCTGTTTGATATTGGCATACATGACAATCAACCCATGCAGAACAAGTGTGAAAGGGAACAGTGTCGTGCGTATTAAACCGTGATGATTCACGATACATTAATCTTAATCTGCAAGAATACTTCAGTTGTGAATGGATGGATTCTTATAGTTTAAAAGGATGCTTGTAAAAGCCAGTTGTGATAATCCACGATATGAAATATACCAAACAATACTTTTGTACGTAATGCTTTATAATTATGGAGTTATATTTCAGGATTTTTGTAGCACTTTATTCCTTTCTCTGTATTAACCTGTCCTGTGAATAGAAAAATGGAAATAATTAAATTTTTTTTTTTTTAGACACGATGTGTCTAGTGAGTCCTGATAGATTCTAAAAGTGTTTTTGCATAGAGTACTGCATTTTGACCATGCCACATGTCATTGATTTAATATACTTAGTCTCAGTTCTGTTCTACTTGCATTTATATGAATCTGAAATAATTCAATTGAAACCAGTAGAGCATTTACTTTGGCATAGATAGCAGCTTGCATTATCCTGCTAAACTACTACGACTGAGATCACAATCTGGCCTAACATGCTACAACAGAAGTAGTCCAGGGTCTGAGATGGATTCTTTTAAAGTCTTCTGAAAACAAGAGGTGCTCACCAGCCCACTTTCACCTGCTGTGAAAGACATTTTCAGAGATGTTTTACAGCAAAAATTCAGCTTATTGTAAAGAATTATTAATCTCAAAAATATTTTTAATAATGAAAAGTAGTAGCTTAACACTGGCATTTTACTAGTTATTGACCAACAAAATGGGAACATGTAGGCTCCTTCGAAGTCTGTATATGAATTCAACTAAGAAATTGTCTGTTTGGGAATTCCTTCTTGAATTTAGGGATAGATTTATAATCAATTTTACTAGGAGACTTGGTGTGAGTACTTACAGGATGTAATGCTGCTTAACTGATACATAGATACACTTCAGAACTGAGTACTATTTTCTATAGACTTTTAAAGGCAGCTTTAACTTTTAGTGATCATGCAGCTCTGTCATACAAACAGGTTTTGGCTGTTGGCTGTCCTAGCAGCTGGGATTCTTGAATAATGTGTGAACACTATAGTGAAGAAATAGCCTGCAAAAGCGGTGTAGGCTGGGAAAAGAAGACACTACACTGTCCCCTGAAGCCAGGGACATCTCATATGACTTAGATAATACCCCGATCTACTATGTTGATATGGATAGGCATGAGAGTATTCAAGGGGAGATAAATTTTTCTCTGTACTCATTTTATGCTAGGCACAGGATTGCAGCTAGAACACTCTTGACTGCACTTTCAGTTCTGACAAGAACTATTTTACCTGAACATTCCATGCCATTTCTGTTTAGTCATCAAAATAAATTACAAGGTCAGTTTCAAAACAAATTCCTTATGTCATTAGCACTAATTTGTGTGAAAAACAGCCATGCAAATGACAAGTCATAAAGAGTTTGATTGTTTATGATTTTCTTCAAAGCCATGAAGATATTTTCTTCTGTTTGCTGTAGTGCTTGCAAGACACTTAGGGTAGCACTTTTCAATAAATCCTTTGATTTTTATTAGCATGGAGAATAAGAAATCCACAAAACAATGGACACTAAAACTAAGCAAGGGACCGAAAGAGAATTTAGATCTTCAAGTAATGAGACAACAGAATGTTGAAGCTGAGATACAGCTGCATTCAAATCTGGAAGTGATCGAATTACCTGTCTGCTCTGTCTGCTTTCCTCTGCCCCATGCACAGATATGATTAAAGGAAAAAGGGACATAGATTAATGCAATCACCTCCTTTAATAAGTGGATATTCTTGTGTATTATGTGTATCAGCAAAAACATCATGTTTTTTAAAATGGTAGCTTCTTTTTAAGGATGAAAAAGAGGAAGGAAGGGAGAAGGAATGGAGATGGTGCTAGGATTTTGATATCATGTTGGATACTTCAGTACTCTTACCGTCTCCAATCAGCCATTCAGCCTGCTTTGTTTTCTCATGTTTGAAATTGGTCATTTCCAAAAGCTATAGAACTTCTGTCTGTTCTACTCTCCCAAATTTATAAAATAGAATTGAATACAAGACTTAGAAAATATGAAATTTAAATCTTGAAAAAAACCACAAAGGGAAGTTACAGGGACAGAGGACTGGACTTCATAGCCTGAAGGCCAGATTTTCAACTGATGTATTGACATTGAAAAGAGCTGTACAAAATTTATACAATCTGAGGATTTTTCCACAAGCTATGCTCAGCCTCACCAGCTTCAGGAATGGCATTGTCATTGTAACCAAAGAGGTGAATATTGATTATTAAAGAAACTGAGGAAGATCAGACAGTAGGTAGGTGAGAACTGAATGCCACTGTGGTTCCATTTTGAAGGATCCATCTCTGCTGCAAGGTGACTTTCAGATGTTCTGAATGCTTTAAACAAGAATCTCCATTGTGTTTCACTTACAGACATACCAAAACTTTTTTCTCGCAACATTTTGTAAATAAATTGAGCAGGAAAACCAAAGAGAACTGAAAGGATTATTGCTGACTGTTGCTATCAGAGAGTCGGTGAGCAGGGAGCAGTTGTGGGTATGATCATTCATCTTTGCAGCACTGGATATGTTGTTGCATAGAATTGGTGTAGTAGCATACAGTATCAGACTCTGTGATTAGAAGTTGTATGTTATGAGCTAAAGGGGAAACCACATTTTTTTACAGAAAGCTCTCTTCCCCCCTTCCCCTATTAAGATAGATATATATATATATATATGTATATATATATGTGTGTGTGTGTTTATCAAAGAGTTGTACGTCTTCAGTTGCCAGGAAACAAGGCCATGATCATATGCTGATAATACACAATATGTTAAATTTAGGGCAGTATATTTATATATCTCTGTGATTCAGAGATTTTAATTAGCTGTAGAAGAGTTTGTAGCTGTAGCAGTGCCCTAGCTAGACATTCAAAACTTACTGGTGTTTGTCAGCCTCATCATGCTTAATACACAGAGTATCCTAAAAGAGGTCCTTTGACTGTTTTTGCTGCAGATCACTACTGTTTTTAAGGGAAAAAGTGCAGTTCCCCTGCTCAGTTCTGGTTGCTTCCTTAGTCTTTCTTTGCTCCAGTTTCATCTTTTGGAAATGGTAATGTCTCTCTGCCAGTGCTAGTGCAGAGCAATTCAGAGCAGCACTTGCATTTTCTGAA